AATTTGAACTGACCTAAAAAAAGAAAAAATCCTGAACCATCCTACAAAAAGGAAAGGACTCCCAAACTAATCTACAAAAAAGAAAAAAGAAAACTGAATCTTCTCACAAAAAAAAATCTGCTGGCCTATGAAATAAAAAAAGGAATAAATATAAATAAAATCAAAAAAAATATTTTTTTAAAAAGAGGGGTAACAAAGTTAGGAAAGTTAAAAAAAATTTTTTTTTAAAGGGGAGGACGTCAAAGTTAGAAAAATAAAAAATTTTTTATAAAGAGGAAATAGAAATAGAAAGAAGAAAATTTTTTTAAAAAAAAAGAAGAGTGGGAATAGTGGGAATAAAAGAATAAAATCAAAAAAAATTTTTAAAGTGAGGTACGAAAAAAAAAAATTTTTTTTTAAAAGGGGGGTGACGAAAAAAGAAGAAAAATTTAGAAAAAATAACAAAAATAAAACAAGAGAAAAGAGAAGGAAGGGAAAGACAGAAAGGAAGATCGGAAGATCAAACTCATCAAAGTAAGGGTTTATATAAAAAACAAAAAACGTATCATAACAAAACAATAAACAATCACGCACGTGATCACGTGTTATGTTACGAGATTTTTGTAAAATTATCTTCTAAAAATATTAAGTTTAAAAATTCCGTATACATTCCGTATGATTAATTTTTTCCGTATACATTTCATATACATTAGTTTTTTTAAAAAATGTTCAATTATTAAATATACGGAATTTGTATACGGAATCTATAGAAACGTACATAAAATGTATACAAAACGTTTCCTTTCCGTATACATATTTCTTATAGGGATTCCCTTAGATATGGCGAAAAATGTTATGAATTAGTGTTGAATACAGATTTTATATTCATAAAGATAGTAATTCGAGTAATACGTAAATTTTGTTTGTTTAATGTATTGTATTTTTATACATTTTTCTATGTTATTTTCAAGTACACCAAAGTAAATAATTAATATAAAAAATAGTTATAATTCCCAAACTACTCTTTGGAATCAATTCACAACTCAAGAAGAAAAAATATGTTAATTATAAAAGTTGTTATATCCCAAAATTTACAACAGCACAAAGAAATTTAACTTATGCACATAAATAGTATAATCCGCAAATTTCTTTAACATTATTGAGGGAGAGTAGATTTATTTCAATTTTTTTTTTTCGAGAGCGAGTGTTAACTAACAAACATATTTGTTTGAACCTTCCTATAAAAAATTTTATCCGTTATTTCTGTGATATAAGGTTAGCCTTTTATGTTAAAAAGTTGGAATATAAAAAATAGATCAACTTTTTTTACAGGGTTTCTTTTATTATGAGATTCAAGAAAGAAGGATTATGAATATTTAGAGTTCAGCAGAAAAACTAAAAAAAACTTTCGTAAAAGATGCCGTATCACTTTTAAAATTTACATCTTTTGTATAGGATAATTATGTAGAAATGTTGATATGTGGTAGTTCCTAATTTTGATTTAATCGCTTCAGTAAGAGATAGTTTCTTTGAGTCATTATTTCCGTTACGATCTTTAAAAGGTCAACAGGGAAGATATATTATAAATAATTTAAATTACATATTAAATATAATTTAATAAAATTATAGCATCCTAAATATAAATATAATAGTATTTATTTCATTAACTAATTTTTTGGTAGTCGTTATTTAAATAAGAAAAGTGAGTTTATATAACCAGAACCCTGTAAAAAATCTGATCTGTGTTTTATCTTTCCATATTTTTTCCGTGAATGTATCATTTTAATGGAATTTATAGCCTTAAATTATGGAAATTTTCATCACGCTAACACGGATATCTGTGAATGTATCATTTTCACAGAATTTTTACGGAAGACACGGAGAAATAATGGAAATATTCGGATAAAAATTTTTTATAGGGGGAGAATGATCCTGAAAGAACGACATTCCAAATCAGTCATGTGATAAACCTTTATTAGAATTTACATTACAATAATGTACTATTTGATTACAATTTGACATCATATGATATCCTTTATTCCTTTTCAAGGAAGTATATCAAATATTTATCTCATGTTTACTAATTGGTCGCCAGTGATTTTTTTGATGTAATTTTTCTGATGATATTTTTCATGCTCACGTGATTTTACAGTCTTTTCCACTCTTTCCCGTTAGTCTCCATGAGATCAAAGAGTTAGCATAAATATTATGATTTTTACGGCAGCGCCATGAAAATCATTAACATTCATGACTCCCGTGAAATAAATAATGGTGGTGTAGTTAGCCGAAAAATAATAAGCCGCAACGTGTGGCTCAGCTGCTCAGCTCAGCCGTTGTAACACCTGAGCCCATAGAGAATTATGTTTGCCACCTCAGGTATTAACAAAATGACTCTTTATTAATAATATAAATAAATACAATAATATGCTTGGTTTAATAACATTAAATAATAAAATAAATAATTCATAACAAAATTCGTCCCATTTTCTCCTTTTCCAAAAGGTGATCTTCACGCCCTTTTATGTTTGTTTTTGTGTAACTAAATTCATAATTTCGATTCATGGATTTAAATTATTAAAGTATTTCCATTGTTTTAAAGTATTTCCATTATCTTAATTTTGTATCCATTTGATCATCATGAACTCCTGAATTATGATTTATAATATTAACGTAGTGATCAACAAATTAATCACTTGACACCTCAGATCACTTGATTTCATTCAATTTAGTATCTTTC